TCAGGGAGCAAGTGAAGGAGGAGGTACGAGAGGAGGTGCTGTACGACACCCTGAGTTCAGCGCCACAACACACCGTACGTAACCTTCCACCGTACACCAACGTCAGCCTGAGACTGGTCCTCAGTAACCCTGAAGGGAGCAAGGAGAGCGAGGAGCTGCTGGTGCTGACCGACGAGGACGGTTAGTGTCACAGAAGTTTACAAGTTTACGTGTCCGTTCTTTGTGACTGTTTCTGACGGCTGTACGTCTGTAAACCTCAGTCCCTGGAGCCGTCCCGCTCGACTCCGTGACCGGCAGCAGCTACGAGCAGCAGATCAGCCTCAGCTGGAGGGAACCTCTACAGAAGTACGGCCTGATCCGACAATATGAGGTAAACATGGTGTTACCCAGTGGCTGGGGTGCATTCAGCTCTTATCTGGTTAGGTCCATTACCCACAATCCCTCCTGTCTTTCCCCAGGTCTCCTACAAAGCCCTGAGCTCCTTTGACACGGAGTTCGATCTGTCCAATCAGAGTGGAAAGGTGTTTAAAACAGCCAATGAGACAAGTCATGTCTTCACCGGCCTCTTCCCAGGCTCCACCTACTCCTTCACAATAAGAGCCTCCACTATCAAAGGCTTTGGACCGCCTGTGATCACACAGTTCACCACCAAGATCTCAGGTATGTCCGTCGTAACAAGGAGCTAAAGACGAAGGACAGGGATGTTAGGAGAGAGGTGTGGAGAACATGAGGACAAAGACTGTATGTCAGGGACATGGTGAAGACCATGGCTGTTGAGGAGACACAAGAATACAGACGGGGACAGACGGGGACAGATGTGAGAAGACAGATATGGTTTGGATGCAGAGAACAAACACAGAAGTGTCCAGTAATGTACATGAATGTGAAGGACATAGACAGAAGATGTAGAAAGGACATAAGTAGAGAGGCTCAGATATGAAGACTGATGTTGGACATTGTTGTGTCTCTGTCCTCAGCTCCTCTGATGCCAGCCTATGACCAGGAGTCTCCTCTGAACCAGACAGAGACCAGCGTGACCGTCCTGCTGAGACCAGCTCAGAGCAGAGGAGCTCCAGTCAGGTAATACATGTGTGTGTGTGTGTGTGTGTGCACGTCGGAGTGCACTAATTATTCAGACACACACACACACACAGCTATAAAGTTTTCATGACTAAAACATCAAATGTTAAAAGACAAAAACACCGTCTCATGTTTTTATTTCAGCTTCATCATCTATTTATGTTGATTTATTTGTTGTTTATTTATATTTTATTTCGTCTTATTTAAAGTTTGGTCCGTGTGTGAGCGTCCACGCACACACACACACTGACACATAGGGAGAGGCGGTATCCGCGGTAACAGTTGTCATGTCAACAGCTGTAACCAGGGATTTGGTTAATTAGCGATCGGGGCGGAGCTAATCAGGGGATTAACGGGATTAACAGCTGAGCTGCCAATCACGATGACTGACTAGTTCTTTATTAAAGAACAGATTTAGTATCAAATCGAACCGTTGACGTGAAGGAATCTCCTCTGCTCACATTCACAGGGGTAACAGCGCCACCTATGGGCGTGGTCTATGTTTACATTACTTGATGCTGTTTGTAGTTTTTTATGTCGTCTTTATTTTAACCGTCTTAACAGTGTGTAACATCGCCTGAAAATTAAAAATTATTTTGTCGGCACTGAATTGGAAAAATAAAGACAAATGCTACCTAGCTAAGCAACTAGCAAAGCTAGGCTAGGTATTGTACAAGTCAATGAATTTAAGTGAGCGACGTGAAGTTTTTGATTGTTAACGAAGGAACTAATGAAGGAAAGTAGATATTAGTATTTAAACAAACCAACCGGATGTCTGGTGGATTATTAGCCGACGTCCAGTGCTAGCTTGACTGTTAGTTTTTTTAGATATGACACTGATACATGTACTTACTAAAAAACACAACTTTCTGGCCTCTTCTAAGAAGTCAACACTTCCTGTGTCGACCGTTTGGCAGAAGATGATAAGCTTACTGATTTTTTATCGTAGCACTTTCTCTGATTGTCGCCCCCTGCTGGTCTCTAGTGGAATTTCAGAATTTTTCTATCTATAACTTTTTTATGTTTAACCACTTTTTCAGCTCGATAGTGTAACACTGTTTGTTTATAGGGTTTGATTAAAGGTGACTGTTGGAGCTTTACACGTGTCAGAACAGCGCCACTTAATGTTAAAAGAGGATAATTGCCTTCTTGTACCTCTCTCTGTGTGAATGTGTGTGTGTGTGTGTGTGATGTGCACTGTGGTAATTGACATGATAGCCCACTGAGCAGATGCTGCTCTCAGATATGATTTCATGTTTGTTTATATTTAACTTTGCTTTTGTCTGTTCTGACATTTCTGTGTGTGCCGCTCCACACACACACACACACATTCACGCAGAGGTACAAGAGCCTCAAATTGTAAGACACAAGGTGTTGCCGCAGGCGACCTGCAGCTGTAATCAGATTACATTGACACACACACACACACACACACACAGATGAGTGTGGAGAAATGTGATTGGAGACATTTGTCAAAGAGAAGAAAAAGAACAGAGATAAAGAAAGAAATGAGGGGGAGGAGAGAGAGAGAGAGAGAGAGAGAGACTGACAAGACGGGATTTCATGTGTGTGTTTGTGTTTGTGTGTTAGTGTGTCTTCCTGTCCTCCTTTAGTTTCCTGTCCAGCAGGAAAAATGACAAAGCAGCAGTTTCAGTGTCCATACACACCCTTAGACTTGTGTTTGTGCGTGTGGGTGTGGGTGTGTGTGTGTGTGTGTGTGTGTGTGTGTGTGTGTGTGATATATTACTTCTGTCCTGAACCTATTTCCTGCGAAAAACACCACTATTGTTTTGAACGTCCCTCAGGACACAGATGCTGTGGTGCGTTCAGGTGCAGCTTGGTGTTTCTGTGTGAACCCTGACCCCTGCTGGTGGAAACAATAACTCGTATTGTCTTATTATTAATATTACTGTTGTTAAAGTTTCAGTAAATCTTTATCTAATTAAACAACACCACATCTAATAAGTACGCCTATGTTTTCACAGCAAGTACCAGGTGGTGGTGGAGGAGGAGCGCCCCCGCAGGCAGAAGAGAGGTACTGCAGAGATCCTGCGCTGTTACCCCGTGCCCATTCACTTCCAGAACGCTACGCTGCTCAACTCGCAGTATTACTTCAGTGCGGAGTTGCCGATGAGTGAACTGAGAGCGCCCACACCCTTCTGTGTCGGTGAGTCAGTGTCACGTCAGACGGGAAGTGATGTCATTAAAAAGAAAGTGATTTACTTGATAACATACATGTGTACGTGTGTATGTGCAGGTGATAACAGGACGTACAGTGGTTATTGGAACGCTCCTCTGCTGCCTCACAAGAGTTATGGCATCTATTACCAGGCCGTGAGCTCAGCCAATGGGGTGAGTTTAACCGTCCACATGACACCATCGCTCCCACCAGGGAAAGGTCAAAGACGCTCTCCACATACAGTTTCTGTCAAAGTGTGTGGTATGAATTCATTTGTAATATCTAAAAACTACATTTCCTAAGACAAAAAAGTCTTTTTATTGACCTTATTTAAAGTGGTCAGCTGAAAGGAACGATCCAGTAGGAACATTTTTTTGTTGGAGAAAATAGCTAGGAAAATAAAAAAATTAAATTAAAATGTTAGGTCAACATTGATGTCAATGTCAATTGTTCAAAGTTTTCAAGTCCTGTTCCTTGGTTCTTGTGACAAGGAATCTGTTTCCTTCCGTTAGCTACGACTGTCCTGGTTCTGGCTAAGCTACCGTTAGCTTACGACTGTCCTGGTTCTGGCTAAGCTAATTACGCTCTTTCTGTTTATGCTAGGCTGACACCTCTCAGAGTGTGTCATTTGGATAATAAGTCATTTGGAGGCAGAATTATTCAAACTCAGTCAAATAACTAATGGACCTGATGCTTCTCTAAAGATAATGGCTAATAAAATAAAAACGAATTCATTAATTCACACAAATGTGCTTCTGCTAAAGCTATCGCTTAGCACGCTACTGCCCTTAGGGGGGAGAATGGTTCACTGAACCATTTTCTAGAGCTAAAATGTAACTGTGTCTGAGGACAGTCCCAGGAGTGAAGCATCTTGACTGTAAATGTTTCTGCTCAGGAGTTTCTCCTCTGTGATTTGCACAGAAATGCAGATTAGGACGGTCAGATGAAGACGAGCGAATGTTTCATCTACACTGAGAAAAAAAAAAGTCTTGATGAAGTTACTGGTGTTTGAGGTCTAATTTGTGTTATCTTCTCATGATTACATTACCACACAAACACACACACACACACACGTGGTGTTTAATATGAGTGGAGAAAGTTCCAGGAGCAGCAGCACTAATGGGCTGCCGGGGGACTGGGTATGGGTATGAGTGTGTGTGTGTGTGTGTGTGTGTAATGAAAGTAATTGTTCACGGTTTCGCAGTTGTTCTCACACAAACGCACGCACTTGCGTGGAGAGGGACAGGTCTGGAGTAAAGTGAAAGAGAACATCTTGGTTCTTCTGCTTTTAACAAATAGACGACAAATTAACCACAAGAGTTCATGAATATTCATGGACACACACACACACACACACACACACGTCTGTGTGGTTTGGTGACAGTAAAAAGCTCTACTGTTGTTGCATTATTCAGCACACACACCAATTATAAACCCCCCTGGTGTCAATAATTAACACACACACAATACACTCTGTGTTTGTGCGTTTGTGTGTGTGTGTGTGTGTGTATCAGTTGTTAAATGCCAGCACAGCCACTGATCCACAGCCATTTACCTTCTGTCCGCTCTGTTTACGATGACTGCGTGTGTGTGTGTGTGTGTGTGTGTGCATTCTTTCCTCTCTCTAACAGGAAACCAAGATCGACTGTGTGCGAGTTGCCACAAAAGGTAGGAACGCAGAGGCTTTTATTTTGAAAGGGTGCTTGTATTTCATGTTTTAAACATCTCTAATCTAGATTTTTTTTTTTTTTTGGAAATAATCCTGTTCTTTGTTAAGCTACTTAACCTGTTTATTTATTTAAAAATAAGACGAATAAGAATCATATCCACTTTATTCTGCAAGACAATTTAGAATGAAATCTTTAAATGTTTAGACATTTTCTGGTAAGAATTGTGACTTGTTTTCTCAGAAAATTTAAATATATAAAAAAAGAAAATTTAGTCAATTTTATTTGAAAAAGTTTGAATCCTACAAAGTCAGAATTCTTACTTCTCCTAATGTACCTTTATTTTGAAAGGCCATTTTAATGTTGGACTGTTAGCTGCTAGCGCCAATAGCCATGTGGACCTGTTCCCTGGATTGGAGCGCTAAATTAGCCACTAGCTAACCGTGCAGCAGCCAAGCCATTCAGAGTAATGAGACACAGATGGCAGTTAGCTGTTGGAGCGCTAGGCTAATGGTTAGCATGCTGCTCCCATCCAGAAGTGTAATGGCCCACAGATGGCGGCTAACGCCTGACACCTGTCCTTAACTCAGTCATCCAGTGCGAGGACCGGCTCGGCCTGAAATCACGCAGATACACAAACACACACATATACACACACATTTAGACGCGCAACTCTGTGCTATTGTGATGCTAAGCTAACACACACAGCTAATGACTGGAACTGTATGGGCGCCCAGAGAGCTGTGACGTGCCGCAGCTAAACAAGCTGACAGACTGTTACAACACACACATCTTATTATACACACACGCACTCACACCCACTCACACGCTAATAGCTTTAATTAGCTTTTACTGGAGCTCAGTTCTGAACAGCTAACGACGCCAGATGCAGATTGGCTCGGCAGGTCCCACGACACCTGTCAGTCACACTGCAGCAGCCAACCAGTGCTCCCAGGAGAATGAAACTCCGCCTCCTCCGTTACAGCGATGCCTTGAGGCGATTAAGAACCAGAGAAGCTGATGTGACTGTAAAAAAGAAAGTGAACATTAGTGGAATGTTAACAGAAAACACACACACACACACACACACACACACGTGTATGAAAAGGAAGGACCAAAGATTTGTTTTTCTGTCATAATTGCTAACTCAGCTAACTGTCACTAATACCTTATCATTGATGAACTAACTGATTGATTGATTGATTGACTGATTAATTGATTGATCTTTTTCTAGGTCTGTTTCTCTGCCGTTGTCTTCGACTCATTGTGAAGCAGTTTTAGGACAAAACACATATAATCAAAAAAAAAATAGTACAGAAAATGTATGATTTGTTAAAAAAAAAAAAACACCCACCACCAAAGTTTATAAAAAAACCCCCAACAACAACAGGAAGCGAGAGGTGAGGGAGCGTGAAGAATGTTAACTGGAGAGACAGAGAGAGACGGTTGGGGTGAGGGACGGTGTCCAAGGCAGCACAGAGGTTCAGGAGGGTGAGGACGGAAGGAACTACGGCCAGAATCAGTGATTCTGATTAGAGCCGTCTCTGGTGTTCTGCTGCTGGGTACTGTTGAGTTCAGCTGGCTCCAGACCAGACCTCCTCACTACGTCAGTGTCAGACAGACCGGGGAGGGTACGAACCCAGGATCTCACCGGACTCTGGAGTCGCAAAATCACACATTCCTACTCAGTAACGAAGGTAGCCGTAAATAAAAGAACGTACGCTCTGACATCACTCTCTCTCTCTCTGTTCTGGTTCTGCAGAGTGAATGTCGTGCAGCCTCTGAGTTCTGTGCTGTTTGTAGACATTTTTTTCATTCGTTTTTTTTTTTCCCTCTAAGGGTGTAAGAGCCCAGCACGGTCAGCTCCCAGCTCAGGGGTCTACACTGCCCCACACAAACTTCAAACACTTGAAAAACATGTGCCAATAACTGCATCACAATGAGCCGTAAACCGTTTAGTGCTCTTTTATATGGAGGTTGTTTTTGTTTTAATCACCTCCATCTGCATGAGACTAATGTTTCTGCTTCTGGTCAAACACTGCTGCATCTCTCTCTCTCTCTCTCCCTCCCTCTCCCTCTCTCTCTCTCTCTCTCTCTGCATGCCTTCCTGGATGAATAGCTGCTATAATCGTCACCCAGCTCACCACGCCGTACGTCCGCGTCGCCCCGGCGGCAGGCGACAAGCAGCTGACAGGTCAGACACACAGCTGACACAGTTTACCACCTGTTTCTGACCAACTATTTCTGTTCACACCAACTCACCGCAGCCGGAAACACCAGCGAAACAACAGCGTTAGGTTCAGAACCATCGACAGAAACAGAGTCAGAGAGAAGAGAACTGGGAAATGACAGCTTTGTCAATGAGGTTCTGAATGAAGCATGGCCCTGGGGGGGGAGGGGGGGGGCGGGGTGTGTGTGCATGTATGTGCCAACATCAGTATCAGATTTATTAATAAACACACACACATACACACATATAAACACACACTCTGACTGAAAATTACATTTAAATATTTACCAGTTTATAGGTGGAAACTTTAGCTCAGTGTTTGTATCAGTCACAGAGTGTGTGTGTGTGTGTCACGGTGTATGTGTGTTACCAGCCAGCTCCAACACTTGTAACAGCTGTTCCCCTTGTACACACACACACACACACACACACGCACGCATACACATATTAATACCCACACCTCCCACTCAGCGTGACTGGCTGAAGCCCTGAAGCAGAAAACAGCTTCACTTACACATAAAAAAACACCACACACACACACACACTACACACACTACACACTACACACACAGAGAGGAGAGAGATGATCTTCTGCCTTCAAAGCAAAGTGTTTTCACAGCCTTTAAAGTGAACGCAGCAGCGTTCACTCTGCCTGCGAGGCGTGCCGTGTCTGTGGGAGCGTTGGCATGACCTTGAGGAGAGAAAAAAGTGAGGAAATAAAGATAAACTGGTAAAAAAGAAAAAAAAAAGGATCCACTTGGACGGGTTTGACATGTGCTGTTACCGTAATGACTGTAGTAATCATACATTTCAGTGTAGGTCGTCTGGTTTCATTTTTGTTTATAGGAAAGCTGGAGGAAGTTGTGTCTCCTCTTGTACATCTCTGTCTCACACACTCACACACACACACACACACACACACTCACACACACCCAGGGTGACTGATAGCTGTTGTCAGGTTCTGATTGGAAAAGTGTAGTGGGTCTAAAATGACACATTACACAGCTCAACAGCAGCGTCGAGTCCTGAACGTTTCTCATCTACAGAGTCATGAGGAAGGATATTACACCTGCACACACACACACACACAGAGAGAGAGAGAGAGAGAGAGAGCAGGTTGATGGGTTTTTCATGGCTCTGACATCTCATCACATTATTCAGTGCGAGGACGAGGACGCCGCTGTTCGTCTTCACTGTCACAAACACAAAACACATTTGCATCAACAAAACGCCTCCATTTTTATATTCACACATCGACGCCATCCACGTCCGTACATTTACCATATTTGTGTGATAAACTACTTTTAAAAATCACAGGGATTGAAAAAAATTGTCAGGAATTCACTTAACCTGAACAATATTGTTTAGTTTTTTTACTTCAGTCCATTCAGCACTTTTGATCTCAACAGAGAAAGTTCAAACTTTTAGTTAAGGAACGAAATATTAGGAATCTTCTTTTCATAGAATAAAATTTGTAGGTAAAGACAAAAACATCCAAATCTTTTGAACCCAACATTCTGAGTTCATTATGTTGTTTGATTTAAATGTTCTTTACTTTATGTTAAAAAAAGTTTTGGAAACAGAAAAGAAGAAAACAGGTCAAAACTAAATCTAATTAGCAAAAATGATGGTGATCCATTTAACTGTAATTAATAAAAAAAACAGTTGTTTGTTTTGTTATCTATATATATTTATACATATACATATATTTGTACATTTTTAAGTTATTTAAAAAATGGTTTGTAGCTCATGAAATGGAAATACATGAGAAATGTATTAGAAATACATTGTAAAAAATAGAAAAATAGTTACAGAATAAAATGTGAAAAATATTTTTGGATTTAAACCAGTAACATTTATTAAGTGGGAAGAGTTTTATTTATTTAAAAAAAAAAGAGAGAAAAAATATATGTATAACACATGCATGAAAAATGTGTGAAAAAAATTCAGGTTAAATACTTAAAAAAAAAGTATTTAAAGACATAATAAATAAAAAACATTTAATTTCTTATAACTTAATTCAGAGACCTGTGTGTTTAAAATATGAGTATGTTTTTTTTCCCCCTCATGATGAATCAGACATATTTTAAAGGTTGTTGTTTATTGATCCGTTGTTTCACTGCGTGTCAACCTGAAAGATTATCAATAATTTTTCACATTAAAGGTTAATGGAGGTTAATGCTTTCAGGCGCAGCCACCAGGAAACCAGAGCCAGAGCAGGGCAACCAGTCGGACCACACGGTGAAGATCGCCGGAGCCATCGCCGGGCTGCTGCTCTTCATCATCATCTTCCTCGGCGTCGTGCTGCTAATGAAGAAACGGTGAGATTTTATGATTGATTTTTGATCAGCTGATCACAGGAGCAGGGTTAATTGTTAGGCTGGACCTTGGTGTGTGCTCCTGCCGCTGCTTCAGTAAAATCAGTGTTTTAACTTTACATGTTCACGTGCACGAGAACACACACACACACACACACACACACGGAGCAACACTGAGGATGATGAGGATGATAAATGGAGCAAATCAGTGCAGCTGTAATCACCATTAAACTCACTTTATTCTCCAACTTCAAACACACACACACACACAAAACCCCACTGGGATACACACAGAGGCCGACACACACACACACACGTACACACATACACACAAACACAAAGTAAAGCTGTGTTTGGAGAACGATGGAGATAAGAGAGAAATTTAGATGAAAGAGCGTTTTATTCTTTTATATTTCCAGAGTCGCCTCCAGTTGATGCTCCAGGCTCCAGACACACACACATCTATATTTCACACACACATCTCATACACGTGTGTGTGTGTGAGCGTGCGTGCGTGTGCGCGTGTGTCAGCGATGGCGCTCAGATCTTTGTAACTGATGTTAAAGAGCGAGAGGACGAGCCGCGGCGCCCGCTGGTGATAATGAGGTTTTTAACGTTGACGGGTGCGTTTGATTTCCATCCCTGGAGCAGACAGAGGTCAGACTCTTTTCA